CAGCTATCCGGATACCTCGCAGTTCCTTCCGGGTTGGGATAATTAGGTTTCCATTAACCAGCAGAGGCCTAGCTGGGCAGTCTGCATGGCTTGCTGGGAAGGGACCATAGCAGTTAGCACACTTAGACCTAGCTAAGCAGCTCCCAGCCTCATGAGTATCTAGCGGTTTGCTGCAGTTCTCGCAGAGGGGTTTCCGGGTGCAGTAGCGGTTTGAGTGAAAGCCCTGGCAGCCAGGGGAGTGTTGTTTGGGGGTCTGCTTCCTCGGGGGAAGCAGACGGGCAGGGCCTGACTGTCCAAACAGGCGGAAGCCTCCCTTAACCCCTTGAGGGAGGGCGATAATCAGGCTTTGTGTAGCTGTGGCTAGATCGGGGCTATCTCGGGTTGGGCGCCAGGAGAGGAGTCTTTGCTTTGTCTTTAGGAAGACCTCTTCCTCTATTTCAGATTCTATGCTAACCCTACTGCCATCAAGGCTGGTAAAGTAGAGGGGGCAGAATGGGACGATATACTGATGCCACTTAGTAGGTATCTCAACCTTCTCAGCTGTAAGGCAGTTTTTGATCTTAAGGGCTCTCTGAAGAAGTAAGGCTTGGATCTCCTTGTTTTGGGGCTGAAGTGAGAAGCCTGTAGCAGTATGGCGGACCTCAACTAGGTCTTGCGGCTGTAAGTTAAGCTCCTTTGTTACCACCATCTTAACTGAGTGAGGGGCTAGGGTTCTGGAGGTAGGTATATGTTCTGCCGGGAGCCGAACTAGTAGGCGGAGGTCCTGGGTCTGTTTAGGCTGGCGTATGCAGCTGGTGGCCCGCCGGCCTGTTACTGGGTTCGGCCTGGGGCCGGAGCCGGAGCCGGGGCTGGGGCCGGGGCCGGGGCTGCTAGCGGTAGAGTCACTAGCTGCCTGGGCATACGTTTTTCCCGTGCCGGGGCCGGGGGTGGGTCCAGAGATTTCTGCGGTCGCAAACCGGGTAAAGGTATCGATGAGGTCCTGGGCTGTAGCCTTTAGTCGTGCTGGGGCCGTCCCAATGAGGGCATCTAGGCCTTTGGCGAGGAGGTCTAGGGCCTCATCTCGGAGGGCCCGACCCTCTCGAGCCTGCTGGAGGGCGGCGGCGGCCGATCGTGGCCCCCTTCCCAAGGGCCGGATAGGGGGGGGCGTGAGGCCCCTCGGTCGTGGAGGTAGGGAGGTAGGGGGAGGGGGGGTCCGGGGGAGGCTATGTATGGATGAGAGGCCTCTAGGGGCCTGCGAGGGGCCCGCGGCTGGCTGCGAGGCCATCGCGGGCGAGGGTTCTAGTTGTATGGGATGGATTTGGTAGTGTTAGTGTTGATGTGGCGGACCCGGCGCGGCACTAACAGTGGGTGCCGGTGGGGTTGTATGTAGGAGGGAAGTCGTTTGTGTGACGGACTATTTGACAGGTCTGGCGATGTCGGGGGCACGTTCAATCGGGGATATCTTCTCGATTGGGAAACCGTTCCACCGGAAATGAGTTCCAAGCCTTCGGCGGAATAGGATACAGGAAGAAAATACATGTATAAATAAACAATCGTCTCACTTAATCGCTTTGATGTAACCACATATCTCAGCCCTGATTAAGGAAGACCATTGCATACGACACAAGATGGGCAGCACAGAAGCCTCACACACGATCACAGTGACCCTTGGTCAGGTGGCCAAGATGATTGACCACTCACTCCTCCACCCGACCATGACCGATACCGACATCCTGGAGGGTCTTCGCATTGCCAAAAAGTACAATGTCGCCACGGCATGCGTAAAGCCTTGCCTTATCCCCCTCGCCAAAAGCGAGCTTGAAGGCAGCGACGTGCTGGTCTGCCCGGTCATCGGCTTCCCTCACGGCAACAGCACCACCGAAGTCAAGGTCTTTGAAGCCGAAGGCGCCGCTCACGATGGCGGAAAGGAAATCGACATGGTTGTCAACATCGGAAAGGTTCTCGGTGGCGATTGGGACTATGTCGCCAAGGAAATTCGCCAGATCAATGAAGCTGTCGTCAAGCACGGTGCCATTCTCAAAGTCATTTTCGAGAACGACTATCTTCAAGAGAAGCACATTATCCGGCTGTGTGAGATTTGCTCGGACATCGGTGTTGGCTTCGTCAAAACATCAACGGGGTACGGCTTTGTGAAGCAGCCTAATGGGCTGTACACATATGCTGGGGCAACAGTGCCGCATCTCAAGCTCATGAGGCAGCATTCGAAGTCGGAGGTACAAGTCAAGGCGGCGGGAGGAGTGCGAACGTTGGATGACCTGCTCCATGTCATGGCTTTGGGTGTCACTCGAATTGGGGCTACTGCCACGATTGCGATCATGGAAGCTGCTGTTGCTAGAGGTATCACGGATAAGCCGACAACTGTGGAGTTCAAGCCTATCGGCGATGCAGCGTCTGGAGGTTATTAGGAGGACAGAAAGCTTTTGCTTCGACCTTTCTCACATTATGTTGTCACCATAGAATTCAAGGTTCCCATACAAGCAGCTGACAAGATCTCCGATTTCACGTGGTCCTTTTGTCGTATTCCTTTGTTCACTGTTGGAAAAAATGAGTCCCGTCGATAAAATACTCTAGCCGAATACATCGACCTACAGGCTGTTCATTACGAGGAACTTGGGGCTTTTCTTGTGAAGATAAGATAATGATGTCATCTGACGACACGAATGGAATCAGTACCCCCAAAATTGCAGCGGAGCTTGATGAGTTCGCATGAGTTGTAGCTGTCTTACATCGGGATTGCTCCGTTCCGGTGGGTGTAATTACCAGAAACGGACTAGCGTTACTCGGAGCGCTCCGGTGGAAGTCTCTTCTCCTCAGCACCGTGGGAACCTCATCCCTTTCTACACCCGTCAAGGCAATGCTCTGACTGACATTGTCATCCAAAAATCAAGATGGAACCGCATGCTGCGTCAGCAAACCCACCGGCAAGACGCCAACGCAAGAAGGTTTCTGCAGCCTGTCAAAGATGTCGGCGGCAGAAGCTCAAGGTTTTTTTGATCTGCCCCTGAACAAGAGAAACAAGCTGACCACAAGATTGTTTTAAGTGTGATGTTCAACGGCCTTGCACACTCTGTGTCAGAGCTGAAGTGGAATGTGTTAATGAGGATACCAATCGGTGGAGAATCCAGGGGCCTCAACTCACCCGGAATCGGCCCCGCAGACCGGACGGAGACAAGGATGACACCGCAAGTCTCCGGCGGACAAAACGTAGTCGGCGCACAGTCACTGGAAAAGATGATGCGTTGGAGGCTACATCACCTGCATCACCTGAAGCGGTCATTACTGCTGCCTCGCGGACAGCTTCCTCACCTTTGGAAGATGATGGTCCTTACATCGGAGCAGATTCCCCTGCCCCGCAGGTAACACCCGTGGAGAGGAGTAGGCGATCATGGCCATCGAACTCTGCAGCGATGACTTTCATGGATGAGGCAATGATTTCACTCGGTGCTGTGCTTATTACGGAAGCTGACACGTGTTGAAAGGCTTTTCAACGTCAAGATGCGACAACACCGGGAGAGGCCGACACATCTGCGTTTGCTGCGAATCAATGGTCAGCTAGAAGCATTGCCACAAGCTCTTCGCGAGCAGAAAACGGCGTCCCACTGAGACCCAGCCCACATACTCCTGGGCTCTGCCAATCGAGGCTACATCGAAGCAAGAGGTCAAGCGATGCCGAGCGTGCTCTGGTGATGACCTTACCCAAGAAACAGGTCGCAAAGTTGTTGATCGACAATTACTTCGACAAGATCCATTGGTGCTTTCTGATCTTCTTTCAAGATGAATTCAAGGAGCGCTTTGAAAGCCTTTTTAACAGTATTTCTCGCGATGACGGGATTAAAGGAGCAAGCATCAGTTTCGTCAGTCTCGTTCTTAGCGTATGCCTTACTAGCCTACCGTACTTGAGCGACGAAATACGGTCTGAGCTAGTCCGTTTGGGCGTTGATTCAGCATCACTGCAAGAACAGATACTGTCCATACTGAGACTGAAGCTCCTCGATTATGTCTCTTCCGGGTCGATCGAGGCGGTGCAAACATGCATCCTCTTGGGGTGCTTTCACTTGTACCATGGAGAGCCCGAGTTAGCCTGGCCGATATGTGGCTGTGGCTTGCGAATTGCTCAAGCCCTCAACCTACATCAAACTGCAGCTGATCAACGATCCGGAGTACCCGATTTCGATGACCCAGTGACCAGGGCTATTGAGACCAAAAGGCGGTGCTGGTGGTCAATCTACGAGACCGAGACTATCTGTTCTATGCTATACGGGTTTCCCTTGAGTATAGTTGATGAAGATTGTGACGTGGAGTTACCTGATCCATATCCTTTGAGATCGAAGGACCCGTCTTGGAAATCCAACGAATGGAAAGCAGCAGGTAAAGCGACACTCTTATCATTCAAACGAGCCATGGCTGAGTTGACTATAATTGTCAAATCTGCTCTTTCTCGCCTTTATGGAACACAACGAAGACTGCGAGAGAAAGACCAGATGGATAACGCCGGCGGGTCTGACCTGCAACTTTTGCTCAGTACGATTGCCGAACTGGATGACAGGCTTAAGACATGGCGGGACCATCTGCCTATGGAACTTCTATTGGGCGGTGCAATCTCCAAGTCTCAGACAGAGAGCCTGGTTGGCGGGATACCCGAAAGCTTAAGAAGTAGCTTTCCTAGCCAAACCAAACGACTTCAACTTTTTGGAGTCCAATCGCTTTCTCTCAAACTTGCTTTTGAAAACGCAAGAATTCTGATACATCGACCCCTTCTTTCCTACAAGACGATGGCTATCGCAGGACATTCTCGTAATGCTCAACCTCTCCGTTCAGCTGTTCAAGCATGCCGCGACGCCGCTTTGCAGATAGCTCAGGTTGGGTCCACTTCGGAATTCAACGAGGTCGCTGGTACATATGCTGTATCATTCGTGGCTTTACATCTGTTCACAGCCGGGGTAGCTCTATCGATCCTGACCAGCCTCGAACCGCTGAGTCGAGAGTCTTTCGAGTCAAAGATGGGCCTTCGGCAACTGGTTTCCATGCACTCTCAACTGAAGGCCAAGTCTATCGTCGCCGAGCAGGGTTTCGAAATCCTCAAGAGGCTAATGACCCTTGTAATGTCAAAGGAAACCGAAAGAATGCTTCAGTTCGAGGGCCCGGCAGATAAACATCACGGACGCAGCTCAGATTCGACTCAGCGGACATCTGATTCGATTGAAGTAGCAACCCAGCGTAATTCTGCCACAGGCGCTGGAGAGAGCCTCCCCTCTGCAGATTTCCAGGGGACATCTCAGGACGATTTAATGAATGACTCAAGACCCGATATTCCGGACGACTCAGCACAAATGGCTCGTTCAGATCTTGGATTCTGCGAAGACCCTCTGGTGACTCAAGCTCTTCTGGATTTTGAACAAGGTAAGCCCATACACATTTCTTTAGCGTGCATTCGCTAACATACTCCCCAGCCATGAGCTACGATCCGAATGGCGTACTTGCAGGTGGGCTGGCAGAATTTGGTGATCCATTCGTAGAGAGTTGTTTCGGTGCACATGATCAAGGCTGGATATGGAACCCAAGAAATTGAGTCTCCAGCCCATGGCACGTCCGCTTACCTCGACACTAAAGTACGCCTCCAACTAGATTCTCGTCAGGTAGCATTTTAGTCTATAAGTATTTCGATGTACTTAGAGTTTAGCCAGACAGAGAGCGAAAAACATCCGCCATTACTTCAGGAGCAAATGCGAAATCCCTCTCCACTTTCTCATTCAACCCCCAAGCCTCGGCGCTGCTGTCTAACACAGTCGCCCTTCGCATGTCCCGTTTATGGTTGCCAACAACTGGCGTGCCCCTGTGTAGTGTGCAGGTGTTATCCCACATCACCAGATCCCCTACTTCCGTCCATGGAATAGACACTACGTACTTCTCCTGCGTGACATGCTTGTACAAGAAATCCAATTTCTCTCTCGCCTCATCCTCGGACAGACCATCAATATGGTGACAGTGCGACGGAACGAAGAGGTTCATTCGTCCGCTGGGTTCGTGCAGTTGGGCAATTTTATGCTTGCTCATGGGGTGGTTCCCCGGCGTGAGCTTAGCGAAGAACTCGGGGCATGCTGTCTTACGCGAGTGCCAAAAGGAGTGGTTCGCAATGTAGTTCTTGCTGAGAAGCTCTTCCTTCCAGGACTCCGGAAGGTCGTCCCAGGCAGTTCGTGTATCGGCATAGTCGGTGTTGCCACCGGCTCCTCTGGGTGGGATCTCATGTGCCAAAAGAATAGAATAGCTTGCTCGGTGGGCATTGAAGCTGCTGTCGACGTGGAACAATGTATTTCCCTGCACATGTCATAAGCAAAGTATTCATCTGGAAGCAGAAGAGCTTGAAGAGATTCATTTCTTACCTTGCTGATTTGCGCTCTGGGATCTGCTGAGCCGATGATGTTGCCACTTGCGTCAATATTACCTTGGTCAGTCAACTCGGGCATCTTCAGCCGGGACTGAGCTCCAGTGTCCTTTCGCCGCTCAAGCTCGCCAAAGTGTTCAGCGAACGCGACGTGCCTTTCGTCGTCCAATCCTGTTGCCGGGAATACCAAGACACCATACTGTCCACGGAGTTTCAGCGAAATTCCTCTCGAGACTGGGCAAAGTTCTAAGTTCTAAGTCACCTTTGCAATTGCGGCCTTTATCGCCTCCAACGTTTCGACTGGAATCGGCTTTGAGAAGTCTACACCCAACACCCTCGCTGCGAATGTAGGATGAAGAGGCTCAATCGTGAGAGACATGATGACTTGGCGATCTTTAGCTACAGAAGAATATCGATAACTTGGGGGAAAGTTCAGACGAAGTTCATAGAGTTCACTTGGCACAAACGGGACCCTTGATCTACCCCAGGCTTTTCACCGCCTGCCGGCGTCATCGTCGCCGGGTTCTCGTCACGTTTCGGTATCGCTCATCTGTAGGACCCACGCCCATTTATTAGAGTTTCGCCTTATCTCGACTTCTACCGTTCCACGAGTCATTTCCAGTCACGTCCGCACCCAATGCGTCGGATGTCTCCATGACAAGCTTCTGACCGACAGGGCAACCCCTGGCTGAAGAAATGTCAGTTTTTTTGGACCAGTTGAGAAGCCGCAATTTCTTGTCAACGCCAGAATAATACTTGACTCCCCTCTCGTGCACAGCAACTTCAAAACCACGCAAGTCAACGCGACGTCAGAGCCCCTGGTGGTAGTTGCTGCCAAGTTGTCGAGATGGGAGTGCGATCTTTGCTCAACCCAGTGTTAGGTCCGGAGCGTCGGCAGCCGGACCGCTTTCCGACAGACACGGTATTCCAGCTGTCGGAAATGGATAGCTCGTGGATGATGCGTATGATGATCATGAGCTGGACGATGTGTTTTCACGACGTCCTTGACGCCGATAAGCTTCACGATTCGCTCACTGAGCTTCTAAACATCGGGCATTGGAAAAAGCTATGTGGTCGTCCTCGGCTAACTGTAAGTTCTCAATTCCCTGCTTCAACTAGACTGCTCCTACTGAACTCTGACACATGCGTAGAAGGATGGCAAAATTGAGCTTCACATTCCGGACGTTTTCACTCCATCTCGCCCAGCAGTTCACTTTACTACCGAGCCTAACCCTGCAAGCGTAAAGCTTCACCCACTCTCTTCTACTATCCCCTCGTACTTCCCCCAGACGACAGCAGGGCCGAGGATCATCGACACTCCCGAGAATCTGCATTCCATTCTTGCCGGTCCTGAAGCAGCCAAGTCATTCGACGACTACAACTTCACAGACCGGCCTGCCTTTTCACTCCACATCATTACATTCACTGATGCAACGTTTGTGACGATCACCTACCCTCATAGCATGACGGACGGCATGGGTCGACGCGAACTTGTCGAAAATTGGTGTCGCATCTTGGCCGGTCGTAGGTCTGACGTTACACCAATGGCTTTCCCGACCTTAGATCCTATGGCTAAAGTTGCGAAAGCATCTCCTCCACGCTACGATGAACCTTTCACATGGGAGCACAAGCGTCTTCAAGGCTGGGGGGTGGTCCGGTTCACCTTTAGTATTCTGTGGTATTTGATCAGGAATCGTATCCGCCAGAGGAATCTCTTTATCCCAGCTACCTATTTGGCAGCGCTACGTCAGCGTGCCGAAGAGGATCTTGAGAAAGACGGGGAGGCCGCGGATCGTTTGAGTGACGGGGATATCCTGACAGCATGGCTGTCGCGCCTCGCATGCTCCCATATAAGCGAAAAGAATACCTCAAAACCCATCTCTATTTCTACAGCCCTGGATCTCCGAGGCCGTCTTCATGAAAACGATATGCCTCCAAACTTCGCTTACGTCTCGAATGTTGTTGCTTACAACTGGACCAATGCGAACGCCCTCGAGCTCCTTCGGGGAACATTCGGCAGGACTGTGGCACTAATTCGGAACTCGGTGAGGTCGCAGCTCACAGATGCGCAGGTTTACGCCTCGACTCGGCTCACTTACAACGCCGTTGCAGAGAGTGGCAGCACGAAGCAGTTTACTGAGCCAAACGGCTTTGTGGTCTCCGTGTCTAATGTGTCCAAGGCGAGATTCCATGAAGTCATTGACTTCAGTCCAGCTATCAAAGACGGTGGCATTGATGAGATTCGGACAACACCGAGAGGCAAGATCGTGTGGCAGTGCAACACTCCGAAGATGAAGATGCACCCACCGTGTCTGATCTACATACAGGGCAAGGACCATGGTGGCAACTATCTCGCACAGATGTTGGTCTCTGAGAAGACCTGGCGCCTGATCGAGAAGGAAATAGAATCCTCAGTCTGAATTCAGATCTCAATAATGAAAGCTCTCTCTGTGTAGCAAATCGAACAACTATACTACATGCCCCTTGACTTGCTTCAGAGTCTTCACATTGATATCCCGCCAAGCAAAAGTCGCCACAAAGCCTACCAACCAGATGGCAGTAGCGGCAATCAACATCATTTTCTGAGCTTCACCATACGCCAATTGGAGGGCTTTACGAGTAGCAGAGCCCACTGGGTACATCAATTGCGTGGCGAGGTCCGAGTAGATTGGCAAGAAATTGGCCAGCTCTTCTGTCGGCAGATTCTCCATCAGCTTCTTAGCGAACACATCCTGCCAGATTGCAGCAGATACAGTCAGACCAATGGCCCCGCCAATCTCAGCGAACATGGCTTCGGTGGCTAGTACGACAGCCACATGCTGGTGTGAAGCGGCCGCCATCGCAGCCAGCCCTGCTGTGATGATGATGGTACCACCCGCAATGGCGATGAGTATCTGACATAAGATGACGAAGCCGATGTTTTGATCAGGCTGACGGAAGTAAATCATGAGACCCATACCGAAGATGTGTAACGGAATGGCGAACCAAAGGGTGATGATCTTGAAGCGACCGTTTCGGTGTACTATCCACCCTACGACAAGCCCCCAAAGTGTGTTGCCGATAGCGTAGATGTTGTAAACGTAACTGGCTTTGGTGACATCGAGATTATTGATAACCATAAGGAAGGAACTGAAGAAACTGTTCCAGATGAAGTAACTAATGAACAAAACGGCTGAGAGGCCACACGCACCGATGACGGTTCGGTCCAATAGTAGAGAATAGGGAATAAACGTGATGGGGGCAAATGCTTTCTCCCATATGACAAATGCTATGAGAAGAACAACACCAAAGACCAGAAGGCAGACGATGAGTGGAGATCGCCATCCTCTCTCCTGCATGGAGTAGATGTTGAAGGGCAGAAGGAACAATGCCAAGCCAGCTGACATTAGGAAAAGTCCTACGGCATCAAATTCTCGGCAGTAATAGGATAATGATTCCAACGTAGTCCGCTGACTGGTGCGCTTGGAGATTACTCCCAGTCTCTTGGCTTTGGTGAGATTGTGCGCAAAGAGTCCGAATAGGGGAAGCGTGAAGAGAGGTACGGCAATCGAGAAAGTGCCAAATGCCCATCGCCACCCTGGTCCTGTGAGGTAGGCTTGGGAAATCGGGCCGGAGAGCCATGTGGTGATGAGATTTGGCGAGGAAGTGAAAGCCAGCATAAGCCCCCTATTTCGCAAAGATGAGGTGTCTGCAACAAAGATAGAGATGCTGTACAGCAGTGCGTTCTGACCAACTGTGTAAAAGACTTGGGCAGCTGCATAAGTCTCCACACTGTTGCAGGCAGCCATCATCACCAGCCCAAGGGTGGCTATGAAGATGGATAGGAGGTAGCCCTGCGGTCGTCCGAAAACATCCAGGATCTTGGCGAGGGTAAGCTTGAAGACTCCGCCGATGATGCCACTGATGACGGCGACGGTTGGCGTCAAGGAGTGCTGTTGAAAGGCGGATGTAACAAAAGGTGTAAGGGCGGCTAGGGCACCTTGCTGCATGAGCATGACAAAGTAAATGACCCAAATCATCACATAAGCGATGACCAAGGAGGATGTGGTCCATGTCGAAGTCACGGCTTCTATGTTCTGAACACCGGTCTGAGCCTCAGGCTGGTCGGTGTCAGACCCCGAAGACGCGTCATTGATGTGAGCTGTTGTGCTGATACGTGTGTCGGTCTTGTCGGTTGTCGTGCTTGGGGGCGACGGGGATGGCGATGGCACACCCTGCGGGTCTTTTCCTTGATCCATGCTGGCAAAAGTTCTAACGATCAGAAGGATGGCGAAAACGAGGTGAACGGGGCAGAAACAGGATCATTATGAATGTCTTCGTCGAATCTCAGTAAACAAGCCTTCAGCGACTCTGCCCTCGTTTCTGCAATCCTACCGTTGATTTGCTCAAACCTGCTCACCGATGCGTGCTGACGCTTATGATATTTCGGCAGGATCCAAAGTGTGGTGTGAACGAAGGCTGCCGAGCAGGGATGAAGATGAAGGGACCTGATCCACAACATGGAAAATGTGGTTCAGGACCGAACCGCTGCAATGGGGTCAGCACGGGTTCGTCCCGGTTAGTCCGGCCGGCGGCACGGCGTGGGGGAGTGAGCCAGGATTCTGCATTACCCCAATCGGCGAACACGCAGGCTTCGACCACAGATTCCCTGAGAAAATGTAAGACTTTGATCCACAACATGCGCCAAGGGCTTCGGAGCAGAGAATGCTACAATCCTATTAGCTAGGCTGTAATGCTTACAGCCTCAAATTTGCTCAACACAGCAGCGCTAGTGATGATTTTGGGTAACAGCATGTGTAACACTGTGGCAAACGAAGCATGCTTCAGAATGGAATGTTGGCCTGCATGGGTACATCACATGAAATCTGGCCAAGAGACATGCCACGATCAGATCACGTTTCGAGGTCAGGCTGAAAGCGACTACCTACTTTGAAGGACAATATGACCCACAGTTCGACGTAGCGGAAAGGATCTATTGTCTAGGGCTTGTACAAGGTATTCACTGCTACCAAAGATTCCACAAAAATCCCAATTGTGAACAACCGGTGCAAGAACTATCTCAGTCTATTGTGACGCAAGGTACCTTTTTCATGGTCTACTGTAACGTGATTCTACGTGTCCCCAATTGACGAACAAGAAGTATCTCAACCGCCTCAGTGACTAACCAAGAAAAGCGGCGTACTTGGTAAACTCTTCGTCAGCTGTCAACATTTCGAACTCTTCGGGGAGCGCGCCTAGCAATAGCTCCACAGAACCATCATCACGCATAGGGTGGATAAGCAGCAGCCTGAAAGCCGTGTTGAATCGATCCATCAGAATCCTCATGGTGTCAGGTGTGCCCTGGTTTTCAAAAAACTCATCGCCGAACGAAATTTCGGTCGTCTGGAAAAGCATCAAGTTGTTCATCATGCAGTGCATCCCCGCCAACCCCATGCAAGCGTTGGTAAGCATGCCGTAGTCGGGCACGGACTGGAGAAGAGTGAAGGCGTCATGAACCAGGGAAGGATTGATGTGAGTGGCTGCCTCGCGGAAGAGGTAAGCAATGCGTCCCAGGCTCGTCTTTGGTGAGCAAAGCTCTTCGACCGGCATGTAGGGTCGGTTGGTCACCAAGCAGCTGCCCATGAAAGATGAGGGCAGCAGAGAAGAGAAATAGGGGCGAGCATCGATGGGCATCTCCACAATCGCGTTGTCTTCTGGCCCAAATTCTTCGCCATGTTTCTCCTTGGCAACGCGGTAGCGAGCTCTAATTGCAGCCCGCCAGAAGAAGGCCTGGATAACGTCGCTGATGGATGTCACAGCTCCCTTGGCCTCCGGGTCAGCAAGAACCATTAGTCGAAGCTTCTCCACATTTTCGCTCGAAACAAGAAATGTGGTGGGCTTCATATGGCGACCGTCAGCCGGAGGAACGGGTGGCCAGGCAAATTTGCGGGGGAATGGGGGTGGTGTGGGGAATGTCGACTCCGTGAGACGCGCTTCCACCTTCACCGGACCATTGCCGCTCTGAAGCTCTGAAGGATCTGGGAATCCTAGGAATCCCCAGACATTAGGGTCCACCTCATGTGCAGGCTTGGCATAACCTTCGAGCTCGTAGAGGATGTGAGGCAGGCTCCTGTTGAGGCTCTCAGGATCAAGCCAGTCGCACGTGGCTGACATGTCACCCTGAATATATCTGCAGCTCTCGGCCCAGACTCTCAGGGCTGTGATTGCGCCCATCCCATCGACTGCGGCATGGTGGATGTTAATGGCGAGAATACACCCACCCTTGATAAAGTTTGCCTGCGCAACAAGAACCTGAGTCGGCAGCGTCGGAAACCAGGGGCAGTCGATGACCACTTCGTCGCTGAAGGCCGAGGCCACAAATCCGGCTGATCTCAATTCTTCGAAAGAAGGAAGCACATTGGAGAGATCCTTGTAGCGTAGTTGCCTGAGCGGTGAGTTCTTGAAGTTGGTTTCAGGGGTCGCGGTTGACGGAATCAGGGGCAAAGTGATGCGAAGATCGCCGTTCTTGTAGCCCGTCTCATGCGGCGAGCAGCGCATGACCTTGCCTTCAAGTTCTGGAATGAGTTCAAGAGTCCTGGAAAGCCCACCGTGCAGCCTGTTGAAGACATCTTCGTAGCGTGCGTTTTCGCGCAGCGGTAAGTAGAACTTCATGCCCACGTAGATGTTGGGGTTCATCAAGTCAAACGGGTTGACTTTGGGCGATAGGCGCGATTTGTGGGCGTTCATCATCTTCCTCATTTTGACCACAGTAGGGTCCAAATCCTCGTCTGACGCGGAGGCATTCTTGCCCGCTGCATGCTTTTTCTCAGCCACCAACTTCGCGATCGTGGCAGCAAATTTGCCGAGCGTAGGGCTAGCATATAAATGCCGAGGCGAAAGCTTGTCTTGTAGCCCAGTAGCTGCACGGATGATCTTGACGGCTCGGAATACAAGGAGCGAGTCTAGGCCCAAGCTAAAAACATCTGCATCGGGCGACGCGTTGTTAAGAGCTGGCGAAAGAGAGCCTAATATCTGCCTAATCGCCTGGGTGATAGACTCGACAGAGCTTACGTCGATGGCAGTGAACTGCGAATCTTCTTCTTCCAAGCGGGAATCATAGAAGCGCTCGATGTAGTCGGCGTAGAGCTCTAGCGTAGCACGTCGCTTGATGGTTCGTTTGTCGGTGCGAATGAACGGCTTGTCTGGCTCAGCGAAGGTGATGTAGTCTCTCTGAAGCTGGTTCTTGTGCATAGAGAGTGAGTTGGCTCGCTCTACAATAGCCCAGATGCTGTCCAGAAGTTCGGTTGTCTTTGAATATGGATCCTTCAGCTCGATTAGAAGACCTGCCTGAGGTTTACTTGAACCAATCTGCGACAGTGTCAGACATGAAACCCACGTGCTGACGACAACCAACAATTTAAGGCAAAGCTTGCTTACCATG